AAAAATAGCCACAAGAACGGCCGGCAAATAATATCGTCGTAAAAAATAAGCCACAAAGGGGGGGCTTCTTGCATCATTGCCAATCGCCAGACACTATAAAAAAATAACTTGGCAACTTGTGGCACGATGTCTGCCACGCCCCCTCCCCGCTATATAATGTGGATATAGCATACAGCATGTACAGCGTAACACATGTCTCATCGAGTGTCGACTCCGTCATGGCATTTATTTTTAGGTTGCTGCCTGCCGCCGTCTTGTCTCGTTTTTCGATTGGTTTCGCTGCCAAATTATTCGTACATTGCGTTTGATTTACTTGCAAATTCGCTGGCACAGTTTCGAGTCAGTAGGCCAACAGTCAACAGCCAGCTGGCCGAGACGGCTGTGATTTTCCCTCTTTATCGCTACCTTTTGGGCCGCATAAAACACCCAGCCAATTTGTCGCGGCCACAATCTATTAAGCCCTGTCGCGGACTATTAATCTCGGAGCTCTGATAATTTGCTTATTGCTTACATAGCGACTTTATCAATGGGTCACGAAAGGAAAAGGGCACTGGGAAAAATATTTAAAGCAAAGCTAAACGGTCCGGAATCTAAAAATTTACATGTATATAAAACTGTAAATATTAAATTAAATTAAATACAAGAAGGGACGATTATTTCGAGTGCCATCAAATTTCCGGTACTCTTTTGGCAAAACCATTATGACCCCACCAGGTGGAGCCACTAGCAATTATCTTTGAGATGCCATCTGGTGGTAAAATATATTTTCCTGCTAGTAGTGACCTCATTTATGACGTCAAGAAACTTAATTTCTTAAAACCTTCCCAAACAATTCTTCGACTTAACACTTGTGTGTTGATAAGTACTTAATATAAGTCAATTATAAATTATTAACTTATTAAATTATATTTTCAAAGAACAGCTATGTGGCATCGGCTTCACAAATAATAATGAAAATGTATTCTAAGGCGACCCTTTAAAAAGAAACGTTATCGTTGCTGAATATATTAGTTTATATGATTACTGTAGAAACTTACTCATTAACTACTAGTAATACAATTGTCTAAGTGTCTAAGCAACCTTAAAGCAAACAAAATACAAAACATTCAGTCAAAGCAAAGAAAATGTAAAACAGAAAAACAAAAACTATGTACAAAATGTTCAGTCATTTCTTAGAGTGCTGTGAGCAAAGTGCAAATCATGGGGATTAGTTTTCTTGAATATTCACACGTCCCAGGCGAGAGATCTTGGCGGAGCCATAAAAGGCATTCACAGATATTTGGTCTTAGGCACCAACAAGCACCCAGAGTACAAATACACAAATACAGACCAGACACATTTCCCACTTTCACTGATTGTCAATTCTGTGGCTCGATCGGAAAAAACAAAAACCGCACACTGGAAACTGGGACAACTCAACTAACCAGAGGGAAGGAGGGGCCTGAGTGATAAGTAAACGATCGCTTTTCCCAACGCCCTCGCAAGATGAAGAGGAGATTACACTTTAATGCATTTCTCGCTCTCCATTCATGAAAGGGGCCCTGAGATCGTTGATTCCGGCTGCAAATTTTTTACTTACAGTTTCGAATGAGTCACACTAGGCAGAAGCATTCATTTTAGTGCTCATTTTACCAAAACAGTACTACAACAAGAGTCGGCATCACACTGGTTTTAAGTTTGGTCTTATCGGAGCTTAGAGTGAGTCACCACTAATTTCATGATCTCTTCACATATTTTGAAACAAAGAAGAAATAAGTCAAGGCTAAGACTTGATTTGCTTTTCCATTACATTATAAGAACATTGTTTTTCCTATTTTAGTTTTATTTCAAACGATTTTGTATGCTTTGCTTTTATCTGAAAATAGGATTAAGGTGAAAATGATGTGTAAACCAATCAACGATCTTGTTTGTGCTGGTTTATAAACACAGGTGTACGGTCTTCGGATTGTTGATAAAAAAAGGAACGCAGGCTGATTAACTCATTCTATGACTGCTGTCTTACCTTTACTTTATGCAAGTGCCCGCTAAAAATTAATCTTAAGTTATTTCACCACTTCAGGCAACCCAATTGAAAACCTGAACGATCATTAAATGAATCATTATGCCCTTGCAGAGGGTTTTTAATTTTTAAAAAAAATTCTTTTGGAAATAGTAATAATTTGATAGTTCAGACTTTAATTTAATTTAAATCGCAAAACAATATCATATAGCTGCCATAGAAACGATCGAGTAATTGAGCTGAAAATCATAAAAGCTTCTATGTTTTTAAACATATACGCATATAAATCAAAATTTAATTGTTTTCAAGAATATTTTAATTTTTGCAATGCTGCAAGGGTATATAAACTTCGACTTGACGAAGCTACGCTGCATTCATGGAAGATAAAGGCTAAATATTACATTGCATGATGTAGGTAAAAACGAGAATAAGAAAAAAAAAATGTAAAATGTAGGTCAAGGCGAAACTATATTTTCTATTCTATAGCTTTTACTTGACTCACAATTGTTAATCGCTGTAGAAACGAGCATCTTGTGATGTCAATGCCAATGCCACGAGTGAATTTTTGTTAATGCTTATGTTTTATGAAGTAATATATTTTGATACTAACTTTGAAACCGAATCCTTGCTTTTTTTTAGGAAAACATTGTGCAACGTAGAAAATGGCGATGCAAAGATATTTCATAATATGTGTGCACAAATGACAAATCGTGGAAGGGGCAAAAATAGAAATTTTAAATTCAGATCAGGCGACACATATGCAAATTGGGGATCGTGGGTGTCGACAAGAAAACTCGAATGTCAAACACTGGCTGGAAAGATTTTTTAGGGGGGAAATTGTAGGGAAAGGAAGGAAAGTGCGGGAGAGGGGCGCTTAGTGTTGACTGAACAGATAGTACACAGCTCAAAAAATGTTCAGACCTATTAAAGATTATTGGCCTGGTGCGAAGTCAGCAACGCCCACGAGTCACGCCCCTTTCCTGCAAGGCGGGTGTTAAGTGTTGCACAACAAAGTGTGCAATAGGAACACAAAGAAATTACATATGTAGATTAGAGAATACCCTGCTAATGGCGTTAGATTAATTATTAAGACTACAAAAAAGGTTTTGGAAATGGCATTTCTTACTAATCCAATTGGATAATTAAATAATTTTGTATATGCAAATTTTGTAAAACTACATACCTACAAGCAGTTTAAAGATGAATCAAATAATTGTGGCTGTTTTTGAATTTGAATTTGCATTTAAATTTGGTTTTGTACTTGTACAAGGGAAACAAACTAGAAAATACATTAATAAATATATTGTATTTTTAGCGGACGAACACTTACGTCTTGTACACATAATTCCTTGGAAAAGGGTAAGAACTTTTTGTCAGCCCCTCTGATTGACGGTAGCGCTGAAAGCTGCTGTCCATCATCAACACCACAAAACCGAGTATTGAGTGGGGAGAACATTCTCATTCTCGGCCCAGAATTTCCGACTTAGAACCGAGAAATGAAACACAAGTGCATGGATGCAGATCTTGCGGTCTTTCTTCGCTCACTTGACAGAGATCATTAATAAGATTTATGCGCTATTAGCAGAACCAGCCACAGGCCATAAATAAGACGAAACCGTCATGGATTCGAGCACATCTCCAACGAAAAACCTGTTGACAGGGGAACCGACTTCTGCAGCTGAATCACATCGTTCACATTGGATTTGCATATGAAAACGGAATAAAACCCAGTGCAAGGTATGTTATCGATAAGCATACTTGTAATTGGCCTCTAAATGAGGCATAAAAAGTCGCCACATAAGAATGTGGATGGTTACTATTAGATCACTTACATATATTTAAACGTGTGACAAGACAAAACTAAAGATTGTAAATGACTTCTTTTTTTATATCTAAAAGCAGAACACATTATTATACCATTAATTTGACTTAACTCGCCAATGTGTGATCTTTAATTGAATCAAAATTTTGTAATTCATTGAATAGAATCAGCAATTTATGCAAAGTTTTCATAATCGTTTCAATGAAAACAATAGCCAGTGTTCATACGAATTGTAAGAAATTAAAATTTTCTTAAATTGTGAAATTGTATAATAAGACAATAAGGCGGTAATAAAGATAAAACATGTGTACAAACTTTGTTTCAAATATATAAAATACAAGGTTCTCGGCCCATTTAGGACAATAACGAAGTCGAAACTATTACTAATGCATTTACATATTGACTTATATATCCTCTATAATTGTTTAATTGTTTATGCCATCCCAGTTTTTACAATTTGTCCACTAATAATATTGTCGCCTATGATTTCATAGCTCAGATGAAACAATTTATGTCAATAAGCGAACTTTAGTTATCGAAAGAAGGAAAAAAGCTAAGGAATTCATAAATTTTTAAATTCATTACTTAGTATTATTACTTACATTTTTTGGTCGAGTTCCCAGAACAGAGCCTTTTTTTATTGCAAAATGAGTCACGCATTTAAAAAAAAGAGAGCACGAGTCAGTTTGCTCTTAAAAAGAAAGCGCACCAATCGCGTGAAATGGAGCAATGGAATGGAAGCTCTCAAATGAGTGAAAATATGAGTGAACACTGTTCTCAAAGTTCTTGAATTGAGTTGCATTTGTTTTCATAAGTCGATGCAAACTAGATTTCTTCAAACGAGAACAAAGCAATTAAAACATATATTACTTATAAAATGCATTCAAATTTGTTTTAAATAAAATGATTGATTTAAGACATTTTAATTTAAAATTCCTTTTTTTTTTAATGTTTTTGGAATTTTTCTCTCAAAGTAAATGAGAGCACTCACTCGACTCTCAAAACATTCGGTTTTGTTTTCAACTGGCTCAGTTTCAACAAAGATTTCGTAGTGTTTTCTCTGTGTACACCTCACGATCGGAAGAGAGTGAAAGAGCGAGGAGAGCACGAGCTTTTCTCGAAGTGGTCGGCTGCTGCGATTCGCCGACGACGACTTCGATTCAGTTTTCAGCGCGCACTCACCGCATCGAAAACACTTCTCGCTCGGTTAAGATACAGATACAGATCCAAGGCAGATCCTTTGAAACACAAAAGTCTGAATATAATAAATCGGAGTGTTGTAGTACGTGGAAGTGTCTAAAAGTGAAAACAATTTCGGCAAACAAACTGTGTAAAAAGGTAGATTTTACACTAAAATCAAACCCCCTATTAATTGCATTTCTAAATAAATTTGCATTGCTATGACTGCACGTACATATTTGACTAATTCGGCATTACACATAATTAATTGAATTTCATCACTGGTTGCAAAGAACTTAGCTAGAATTCAAATAATTTGGAAAGCTGAAAAAAAATATTTCCGGCACCATACAAATTGCAGTTACAAATTTAGGAATTCCAAATTTGTTGTTTTTTTATATATAGCCGAAGCAAATATCGCATTAGAAATATCATATTAAGTTAAGTTTTTGGATATCATATAACAATGTACTGCCGGAACCCAATAGACATTTTTTATTTATTTTTGACAGGCAGACAGCAAAGAAATTTATTGTAAATAAAAAATCTATTAAGTAAAAAGTTTTTTTATTTGTTGTATGGTTTTTATTCGACATATTTGACATTTGTGTGCAGCTGTGCGTTGGCGTGTGCCAAAAAAATCAATGTTCTTTGACAGGCTGGGGGAGTGAGGAAATGTCTACAAAATAAATTAACAAGACGAAATAAGTGGTTAACGAAATTACAAAATAAATTTGCAAGCAAAAGAAAACGTGTTTTTATAAATTATTATAACGTTTTATATCTAAGTTAATACATTATGTAAACGGCGTGTGTCAAATACAGTTCAAAAATAAACATATATAATCGGGTTTCTGTGTATTTCTTTAACACCAGAAATAGATAAATATACGTCAACATTTTACATAAAAATTAAAAACAGTTCATAGCTAAATCTAATTTGTTTTATTTTAATTTGTTTTCAGAGAAGTGCCTAATGCATAATATTGTGTATCCGGTAAAATAAAAATACTGCCATCAGTATTCTAATCACAAGTAGCTTAAAATATTAAAAGACACCAATCTTTTTCAATTCGGTTGAAAAAATAATTTATAATGAATTACCTAAGTGTGCTGGCGATAATCGCCATCTTCATTAAGAAGACGACATACGCATCTCCCAGTTTTCCGTTCGGCATAAATAACAATTATCTTGGCGTGAGGAATTTGACCTTGCCCAGGACCACATCACACCCACACTCGTATCGCCCCCTCCTGCCTGCAAGAGAATTCTACAAGGAGCGCAGCGACAACAAGGAGGATGACGACGATCGCGAGTTTTTTCACAAGCGAGTGGCACGTGGTCATCCGGCTAGCTTCAATGCCCCCAGGTTGCTGGGTGAAGACAATCACCTCTATTTCACAGACGCCGACGACAGGGTGAGTACTTCATCTTTTATCTGGGGACCCACACGAAGGCAAATACTTCTCGGTACCCATAAAAATATAGTCCTGTTGACTCTTTGGAGCCAATCAAATATTTGTGCGTTGATTCTTGGAACTTCAACAAACTGACAGAGAAAAAAACAACTATTTTAAATTTCTATTCTAACTTTCATTACAATGTGTCTATAAAATAAATATTTTATGAATCTCTTAAAAGCTTCATAGTCACAGAGAAATGATTGATGAAAAACTCACCAAAATATATGAACTATATATTTAATACTTTTTTTAACATTTTCTCAGGTAAAATTTATAATACAAATTTTTGATAATTATCAACTCTTACAAACAAAACAGGTTTTCAGAGGTTAAATAAGTATAGTGTCATACATAAAGCCAAAATTAATACAAAAATGGTAAAATTAATAATTTGGGAAGCGCAAAATTGATGTTTAAGAACTTAATACGATTATTTCTGAGAAGAATTTTTATCAATTATTCTTGCGAATAGATAAAACTGTCAGAGATTAAATAAATTCTATGATTTAATTTTGATTATTTTTTGGAAGTGCCTATAAAAAATCGGCTAATAGTAATTCACAAAAAAAAAAATCAAAAGGAATTCATTTTGAAGTCTTTAAAATAATACTTATGGTTTTTCGGCATGTGCAAGTCATATATAGTCAAATATTCCTCTCAATTGTAGAATATAAATAAACTCTTTTACAAATAATTGAAAGTTTAACTATACTTTAAAGACAATTACGAAAAAAGGGAATTGCCCACTAAGCCTAAATATTGTGTATTCCATTAAAATATTTTCCCTTTGATTTCCATCCATTGCGGTTGTTAGTTATTTAAATATGAAAATATTTAAACTTTTTCAGTTTTTCATTTGACTTTTTTCGGATTTGATTTAATTATCTAAACTTTTTTTTTTAAATTTTAACCACGTTTAACTCATTTAAAATACATTTAAATCAAATCGGACCTATTCTAAATTTAATATATCCATAATAATTCATGTACTTTAATATGTATTCTATTTAATAATATGATTTCATATTTAATTTTAATATTTAATCTACAGTTTTAAATTCAATAGTCAGATATTTATTTTTCTTGTCCATTTTCCATTTTTGTATCAGTGCGGGAAAGGACTAGGTCAAAGTTTTTTTGTTCTGTATCCCTCTTGCCCGCTTACATTGAAGCCCCGGGGTGTCTCTTCAGTAGCTGCAACTACTTGTTGCGCATTAGAATCGAAATGGTAATCAGAATCGGATCGCAATGAGATGGCTCACCTTGAACCCCGGGGCGTAAGTGAGTCGGAGACGGGTGACTAACCCTGAGACTAGCAATCGCGCCGATCTGCTAGCCACTCGCCGACTGCAAATCGGAGATCGCAGATCGGAGATCGGTGATCGGAGAGCCCACCCAAATGGCTGGGTAAGATCGGTAAGAAGGAGTTACACAACGGCGGCAATTATGAAACGCGTTGCGGCAGGTAGGAGCCACCAATTTGGTTAACAAGCCAATTTGGCTTGGTGCTGTGCAAACGGCAGCCAGCAAGCACAATGCCCAGATCCAGAAGAGAGATTCCGATCCCTGCCCAACGATCGGTTTCAGTTTCAGTTTCACTTTCCGGCCTGTAATTGTGCCGCTCCGCTTAAAATCGACGATGGTGGCGACGAGGGCATCTCCAGCAGAACCTGTCGCTGCTGTTGCTTTGTTTTTTCTGCCCCATGGTCGACAGCTGGCCGATGATCGCACAAAGGGGAAAAAGTGGACGGGTTGCTCAAGGGATCTTCAAGAGGTGACTTTCCGTTATGGTGGTTAATTGGCCTAATTGACTGACAAGTTGTAACTGTTGCCGCCCTTAAGGGGAAATCATTCGTACTCAAATAAGGGGGATTTACTGGGAAGTAATTTAACTGATTTACATTGATTACTCATCATTGAGATGGATCCTCTGATCTAAAATTCATCAATGAGTCGCCTTTTAATGTTTTATTAAGCTATAGATACTGGTCTGCTTTTGTATTGAGGCAATAGCTTTATCCTACTGCATTGTATTTTTTTATACAACTTATCTCTTAGTAATAAATATGTTGGTGAAGCATTCCATGAAAACCATCTGGTTTTAATCACCGTCATAAAAACATAACTCCAATTCTTCTTAGAATTTTGGGAAATGCCCAGATGACGCTTTTTTTTGTACCGTCTTTTCGGGTAAAACGAAGCACAATTACGTACACTTGCATGAGCACATTATAACACATTTAGCTCTGGAATTCCCCAAAGCTGGCGACAATCATACTCGACTTGATTCTGCGATGCATTGGCTTATCAATTCCAACAGCTACCGCTAGCGATTTGCTTTCCTCCCGGAGTCTGATTTTTTCTTATCGCTCACAGCTACATGATTTAATGCCCATAGGTGATGTTTTAATAAGCTTCTATGTCAGGTGGATTGGAAGTGGTGGTGGATGTGGAAGTGGAATGCACTCAGGCGGCATAAAAAGCTTATGGTTTGTGGTCATGATTTAACCTGAACATCCCACCCTCCCATGGCCTCCTTCCTTTGACCTCTTAAAAGAGGAATTTAATATCTGCTCGTTGAAACTGCACTGCACTGCAGTCCCTGCTTGTCCCGCCCACACCAATTTTTCACAGAAGCATCGCCTTGGGAGAACTCTGCAGTTGCTTCTGAACTCCATTTCTCTCTGTGTGTTTACCTTTGGCTGCTTATTTGCCATCACATTCCGGGCGCATAGCTGCACTGAGATTATGAACTGGGAGTGGAATGGTCTCACATCGTGCACATGAGTTCAAACATTCGAGCTATTTGTTTACTAAAGTAATTTTGTTTATTACTTATTATTGGGCAATATTAAAATAAGTTGACATGATTGTATTAAAATCATTTTAAAAGAAAAAGGTCTGTCACAATAATTACCCTGATTAAATCAGACATAAAACCAAACCAAACGCAAATAAATCGGTAAATGTATTCAATTGATTAATCATCAAGTACTATGTTGCTCAGCGACAAGGTCAATAAAATTGAAATCTGCATATGTATTTATAGTGCTTACGGGCGAATGTGCGATTAATACAAATTGATCTGGTTGTAAGCATCGCGTCTCATAATTGTATAATCGCAATAGTTGAATGACTAGAAAATGCCTTTATCTTCAACGACATTGGAATATATGGAGGCTATCTTCGGTAAATATGTAGTTGACGCAGTTTTTCTAGGAAGGGTTTTGCAATACAAACCAACTGTTTGCTCACAAAGTTTAAATTTGATGTTTGTTGGAATGTTGGAATGTCAATCCAGTCGAGAGTTAATCTCTTTATAGGCCATGCAAATATTTTCCGTCATTTCGCTACTAAAATCATTTCACTTTTGTTTCGTCGGCGAATAAAGGAACAAACACAAAGTTCTCCACGCTCTATAAAGTGGGGGAACAACACGAATATAAGTTGACCACGTCTATTGGCACACAGAGTTGAATGATGAAATCCGTTGCCACGCACGCGTATGGATATGCATTCGGGAATAGTGTAAATGTCGGCGGGATTTCTGATTTATTGGCAATCTTAATGTAGCGCGTTTTCCCTAAAAAAATAAAAGCTAATGACGGGCAAATCGGCTTATGACATAATAGCAACAGCTTTCGGGCGGTCTGCATAGTATACACATACCAACGATCTGCTCATGATTTATAGTCCAGCCGACATCAAGTATATTATGCGGAAGCTCTGAATATATTTGACAAATCTATAAAGTTTTATATTATTAGTTTCTGGTCGTCGGCACTTTGGCTAATAAACGTGGAAAATTCACCGAGGAAAGTGTAGAGAAACTTGTCGCCAGACCCATAAATTAAGCGCAAAAAGTTCACGCTTTTCGGCTGCTGGCCATAATTAACTGGCCCCGACTGTACGGACTGGCTGATTGATCGCCGGCGACTTGTTGGCCATTAAACGGGCCATGCGCCAAGAGTCACGCAATTAAGACCCACCAAGAAATATAAATCATGGCCAAGACGAGGCTTTAATACACTCCACGCGAGCATAAATCATACAAATTCCTTTGTTCTAAATTTAATCGCCATTTCTCCCTTTCACATATGTGTTTCCTCAAATGTTTTGCGGAATGCAGCGCAGCGATCTAAGGGAGAAATGAAATATATTGTAATTAATCATTTACTTGTTGTGCAAGTTAAGTGATGATCTTTAAATTTTGGGGAATTTTTTTGAAGCTCAATTCTTATGTCAAAGTGCCAGTTCTTAACTTTCTTTTTTATAAAAACGTATACCAACCGCATCTTAAATATATAGCCCTAATCGAAATTGTATTCATTTTTATACTCAAAACCATTCCCATTTCCGTATTCCCTTGTTTACTTGACCCTTGCAGTAAAGTCAATATTTCCTCTTTGTTAGTCAGGGTATCGCCTTGATAGATTTAAACAAATTGCAGATTGAAAAGTCAATCTAGAGCAGGCCAGACAAGTCGGGAGATCGGTGAATCGGTGTAGCCGCAGCGTTTCAATCTCTTGGGCAATCTAGCGGCAATCTATCGGTGCGTGTGGGCGTTGCAATTAGAAGAGTCAGACTTCCCCGACACTCGCAGCCCCCTCAAATCTCGATCACCTCCCATTTCGCCAGACATGTTCTTCGATTCGACGTCTCGTCTGGCAATCAGTTTCTCGATCGATCCCTCTGACGATGAGAATGATGCATCAGCTCACATTTCCGGCATTGGCCGAGCTGCGCCAACAGCAACTTGCACCATGTTGTAGCGAGTTTTGATGTGAATGGTAGATATAATTGGGAGGCGCCTCCGTGGCTCGATGACTCAACTTCTGCTTGGGATGCAGACAGCACAAACTGGATTTTAAAGCTGTTTTTTAAATCTTAACTTAAGGTGTTATGTACAAATTAAATATATATTTTGGCTTTATTTTCTTTTTTTTTTTTTTGAG